AGGATTAGCCATCTGAATTCTTGCTGTAATGTACTGCCGATATATAAAATAAAAGTAGGATCGCTAAAGTAAAAAAATAAAAATAAAAAAAATAAAATAAAATACTGATCTGTTTATGATTTGTTTATAATTAATTTATCCAGATATCATTATTCGAAATTACATGTAAGTCAGCAAAATAATTTTTTAGCAATGCTAGAGTTGCTATAGACAGTTAAAATAACCTTGTCAAAAAGCCATATACTCAGAATAATGAATTAAATACTATCAGAAATAAATTTAAGACCAAAAAGTAAATACAAAGTGATTTCTCATTAGAACTAATATGTAGTATTTAGTATACTAGTATAATATAATATAGAATACTTATTTCTAACTCTTATTCTTTTAAACAATTCAAGTACTTAATACAATGAGTTTCAATAATATTTATTTATATATTCATTTTTTATTAATTTTGGCACTCTTTGAGTTTTGTCAGTTTCACATTTTGTTAATATAAAACTTCAAGCTTTCATTTAATAACTATAATTCTACTACTATAATTAATAAACTATACTTATCAGACTAAATAGATAATGAATTAGTATTATAAAAATTAACAAAAAAATTAAATTTGTTTTTTGTTAATACAACTTATTATGTATAATGCTAATATATATAATAATAAATCTTTTTCTTTTTTTTTAGAATATTATTCTTACTTCCAATACAAGGTAATGATAATTACAAAAAAAACAGAATTTATTTTTACTAATACAACTTATTATATATAATGTTAATATAGTATATATGTTGTGCCTCAGACTAACGCTTGCGTCAGGTTATAGCTGACACACCTCAGATGAAATTCGTCAGGTGAGGTGCATAACCTACTAATCAGTCATCTGAGATACCTCAGCTGTGATCTGACGCAAGATAATCTACTTATTATCATTATTAAACTATCAACTATTATTAACGTTATTAATTTAAGAGTAAGCAAGTTTAAGCGAAAGTAAAATAATATGGGTCGGAGTAAAGGAAAGACAATAAAAACACTTTCTTAAAGTTGGGCGCTTTTTTTTTTTCTTCAAATCTTTTCAGCACCTTTTCCCTATCTTTACTTACTGCATTGAGTTCTTTGGCACCTCCTTTTCATTAACATTCGAATTCTTTGATACCTTTTACTTGTGGTGCTGGCTTCTTTTTTTATTATTATTATTATTATTTTTTTTTTTCCTACAAAATATGGAAAGTACTTTCATTAGCAAGAACACCCTTGATCACATAATAAAGAACTATATCGTGAATCTTCCTGAATCTAAACAGCACAAAGCTTTGATCAATATTGTGCTCTTGAATAAAATTAAGACTATTTTATTGAACTCTAAGGATAATTCCTTATATGATAAAGCTACCCGTGATTGGGCTAAGAGAAGGTTCCGCCTTGAAGAGATTGCACCAGATAATTATAGAGTCATAGTCAAAGCTTTTAATAATCCAGTCCTAATTGTTGAAAGGTTTTATGAAGTCTTATGTTACATCTATGGAGAAGTTACACAGCATGAAGGGCAAAAGCAAACCTGGCAGTCTGTATGAGATAGATTGGGTTGGATAAAGCAAGACATTGTTGAACAATTTGTTAGTAATTGTTCAATATGTGCTGTCAGAAAACCATCATTTCATCCCCTAGCTGCCAAACCAATCATTGCAAAAAACTTTTTATTTAGAGTTCAGGTAAATTTTAAAAGTATAATTTATTATTATTGAGTTGATTTTAAAATTTTATTTTTTTTTTACTATAGATGGATTTAATCGATCTTTCTTTTGATCCGGACCAAGAATTTAAGTATGTGTATTACGTACATGACCACTTTATCAGATTTTCCTGGGCTAGGGCACTTACTTCAAAGAGACCAATTGAGGTCGCATCTTTTTTGTTTGATCTTTTCCATACAATTGGATCATTGCCAACTATATTATAGTCAGATAATGGTAAAGAGTTCACTTCACAAGTCATTAAAGAGCTTATTGTTCTATGGCCGTCAGTAAATGTTATCAATGGAAGGCCTCGTTACTCCCAGTCCCAAGGAATGGTTGAACATGCAAATAGAATTTTAAAACAAAAGCTGGGCAAATGAAAGGAAACAACTGGTAGGAATGATTGGTCTTTTGGCTTAAGGTTAGAATTATATTTCAAAATATTTTATGAAATATAATCTTATATAATAAATAAAGTTTTGATATGTAGAAGTTTGATTTATATTATTAGTTAAATATGATTTACATTGTAGTTTAATCATTATAGTTTTGAAATTGTATGTGAAACTTATACAAAACTATAATAATTTAATATTTTTATTCAAGATTTGTAGTTATGGCCATGAATAATTCATGGTGTCGTGCATATAAAAAGACATCTTACGAACTTGTCTATGGAGATAAACCTCGTGGAAACTGTACTCTAATTAATGAACTATGTGCAAATAATATTTGTAATGAAGAAGAAATTCCTGATACAATTGAAATACAATCTGATAATATAATAAATCTAGATTATGATATGGATGGTAAATTTTTATTTTGGATTTTATTTTTATCTACAGTATTTACTTTATATATTTTTAATATATTAGATCAAGATTTAGAATCAGAGTATTTAGAATCATCATATGAGGAATCATCATCTTCAAAACTATCATCTCAGGAGCAATTGTATCAAGTATCAGCACCAGCACCTCAAGTATTCTTACCTAAAACACCACCACCTCAAACACCATTATTGTCTTAAGTATCATCATCGTCTCAAGTATTATCATCACCTCAAGTATCATCATCATCTCAAACACTATTATTACCTCAAGTACCATCATTACCTCTAGCACTATCATCATCTCAAGCACTATTATCTCAAGTATCATCACCTCAAGTATCATCACCTCAAGTATCATTGCCTCAAACATTGTCGCCTCAGACATTGTCACCTCAAGCATTATCGCTTCAAACATTGTTGCCTCAAACATTGTTGCCTCAAACATTGTCACCTCAAGCATTGACACCTCAAGCATTGTTGCCTCAAGCATTGACACCTCAAGCATTGTTGCCTCAAGCATTGTTGCCTGAAGCATTATCACCTCAAGTATCATCACCTCAATATAATAGTTCTGTATGTTAGTTTATATAATAATATTGATTACTTAAATAACTATTAATTTTTTTTTGTTTGTTTTATAAACTAAAAACAGCATTTAAATTCGGCTCTTGGTGATATTACAAACCAGGACTATAATATGTGTCATGAAATTTTACGAGAGTTAGCCAGGTGTGAACTTCAGTTATATACAGATAAGATGATTAAGCAAATGTTGAAAAAACGAAAATTGATTGATTTTAATGTTGGTGACTTTGTTCACATAAATATTCCTAAGATTAATCAGTTTGCAACTAATCGTTCTAACATTCCTTGTAAGGTTATTGAGAAAACTGACAATCAACAATATCGTCTAGGATGCATGTATGGTATTATTAATATATGTTATTCTGCCGGAGAGCTTGAAGCACTGGGAACTATCACTTGCTCTGTACTTGACAAGATACCATTGCAACAAATATCCCTTTGAGAAGTGGCAAGACTACAAAGTGTTGGATTGGTAACAAGTTCCATTTGCAACTATAAAGGTCCTTGTAATAGTAAAAGATGTAATTGTAAAAAGGTAAATGGGAAGTGTTCAAGCAGATGTCATAGTGGCCGCGCTTGTTTAAATAAAGATTAGTAATAGAGTAGAAGCTTTAATTTATAATCATTAATAAAATTAAATATAGTTTTATTTGCTTTATTTAAATTACATTTTTATTTAATTATCGCTATTAATTATATTACTAAAAATATATTCTTTAAATAATTAATTCGAAGCTTAATAAAATTAAATATTGTTTTATTTGCATTATTTTTTACGTATTTAATTATTGCTATTAATTACATTACTAAAAATATGCATTAAATAATTAAATCGAAGCTTTGCGTCAGATCGCATCTGAGGTGCCTCAGATGACTGATTAGTAGGTTACGCACCTCACCTGATGAATTTCATCTGAGGTGTGTCAGCTATGATCTGACGCAAGCGTTAGTCTGAGGCACAACATATATAATAATAAATCTTTTCATTTTTTTTAGAATATAATTCTTACTTCCAATACAAGATAATAATAATTAACAAAAAACTGAATTTATTTTTTACTAATACAACTTATTATATATAATGTTAATATATATAATAAATTTATTTTTTGCTAATGCTATTTATTACATATAATGCTAATGTATATAATAATAAATTTTTCCTTTTTTAGAATATAATTCTCACTTCCAATATAAGATAATAATAATAATTAACAAAAAATGAATTTATTTTTTGTTAATGCAATTTATTATATATAATGCTAATGTATATAATAATAATTTTTTCCTTTTTTTTAGAACATAGTTCTCAAATTACTTTTAATATAAAATAAGAATAATTAACAAAAAATGGATTCATTTTTTGCTATGTAATGCAAAGTAGTCTAAATTATACTATAAGTCTATATATTTAACTTTATATTATAATCAATTATATAGTTAGATAGATATATATTTTTACTTGTCTTAGAAAATTTAATACATAATGTTAATTATGAAAGTATAATATAATTAACATTTAAATTTTAATAATAACTAAATAAACATAAAAAATCATTTTAATAAATTTAAATCATAAAAAATTTTTCTCTTTTTATAATACACAATTTTTCTATTATACAATAATAATAGATAATCTAATAAAAATATTATAGTTATTTATACTGTAATTAAATATACATACTTATTTTTATTTATATTTTTTAGTATATATTTATAACAACAAAGTTATATACTATTTCTACTTACTATTTCTATACAATGTGGACCAAAATATTTTGCAAATTATATTTTTGAAAGATGAAATTGCAATTATATTCTCAGATTATACAAAAAAATATTTTATCTTCCAAGCAATAAAGATGAATAAAACTAATCTTAAGAATGAGATATCAAATAAACTAGATCAAATTCTTGAGATTAGCCAATATCCTAGTCAAAATAATATACAAAAAATAAAATTTGAGGAGCTTAAGGTTTTGTTATTTAAAAGTATAAATATACTTTATACCTATATATATAAAATAAATATATACTTTATACCTATTTATATAAAATTTATTAATTAATATAAATTTGTTTGGTATTAAAAAGATAAAATTGAAAATATTATATCTTAACAAATAGATAATACTATTACTTAAAATTTAGATAAACATATATTACTAAAAATTGATATTTTTATATCTGTGTTAGATTCAAAGTTAAAATAACATATAGCAAATACTAGTTATTTACTGTGTCATTGTTTAATATTTTAGAGTATCTTTCTCAATATATTATCTATATGCATACTATATTAAAAAATTATAATATAATATGAATTAAGAATAATACTTATTAAATAGCTAGCATTTACTATATATTGTTTTAGCTCTAATTAAATCTTATCATAAATTAATATAAAGTGAATTTATTTTTTGTTATATAAAAAATTAGATCATTAAAGTTTAAACAGTAATAGTAAAATCTAAATGAAATGAAAATGAACCTAATAATAGTAACTCTAATAAAGATAATATTAAAATGCAAGAAGACAAAGAGGCTAATAAAATTTCAAATTATGAAGATAATAATGAAATCCTTGAAATTTAAAAAGACAAAAATGAAAATAAAACTTCAGAAGATGAAATCAAAAAAGCTAGTGAAGTAAAAATAAAAAGAAAAGAAAAATAACAAAATGTAAGTTATTAAGAAGCAGTATATATATAATAAATAATTTTTATTGTTATTTTTTTAATAAAATATTCTTAAATACAATATATATAATAATAAATTTTTAATTATTTTTTAGAATCTATTAAGTTAATAAATAAATCGATTAACAAAAAAAATTCTGCAAAACAAATTTTAATAGTACCTAAGTCTTCAAGATTTCAATATATAATACAAAAATTAATAAAAATCTTGTCAATACTATTTTGACTCTAAGTGCAATTTCGTATTAATCTAATTTTAAAAAAATTAAAATTTTATCTAAAAAGGATGTTGCAATGCTTAAAAATAATAGTGGATATATTACTATTAGACCAGCTAAATATAATATAATAAAAAAGAAAATTAGTCAAATTAAATAGCTAATTTCATTTATTTAAACTATAATAATAATGATAACTCTATAAATCCTCTTAGATTTTATACAACATACAAGAAATCTCAAAGTATAGACTTTTAGAAAGTAATAAACTAAAAGTTGCTAATTTATATTATGAGTTCCTTTTACTAAAAAATAGTTTCACAGTAGTTGCTCTGTTTTTTGATCCTAATTTTGAAATTCAAAAAACAAAGTACTACAAAAATTTAATTAATTTTTTAAAATTAGTAAGTCAATAAAGTAAAACAATAATTCTAGTGAAATTTAATACAATATTAATTAAAGAATTTTTAAACTAGATTTATTACAAGAACTAAAGGCTGCACTACTAATAGAAGTAACTAGAAATCTATTAACTAGTCTTTGTATAGAACAAATTTTAAATAATACTACAGATTATCAGAAATATTGAAGCAAAAATTATTAACATTAACAACTCTGTTAACTATATACTATCAGTCTTTAAACAAAGTTAATATTAATACATATTATTAGAAGTATCAAGACAAATGTCATTAAGATTCTTATATAAATTTGAGGAAGCATATGTTTATTTGAAATAGTGAATAACCAAATTTACTATATAGCCTAAGAAATAAAGTCTGCTGCACAAGTTTATTCAATTCTTATAAGCAAAACCTCAATACATCAACTTTTAAATATTGATCTAGCAAAATTTACTTCTTTTGAAATTCACCATCTAATCAAAAATAACAATAAAAAATACATGATTCTGGTGAACTAACAATAAATATTTTTAGATTTTTTAGAAATATTTTTATTAGAAAGCTTTAATTTTTCACTATAGCTGAACTATATCTAGTACAATTACTAAATATATTAAATAACAATTGGATATAAATTGATATAGTTAACAATTTAACTATAAGCTGGATCAAAATTTTTATAATGAAGAGTAGACAGCATTTATTAACCAAATTAAACAATAATTATATATATATATAACAATAATTTTTTAATAATTATAGATTTCTTAAATACTAGTTTAAAAATAAACCTTAAAATGTTTTATATATATAGCAAATATCTGTATTTTTTTATAATTTATATAATTTATGTAATAATAATCTTAGATTTCTTAAATGCTATATATATAGTTTAAGAATAGCAAATATTTGTATATACATGCATATAAAGCTTATCTAATTGTATAAATATATATATTTTTATAAAAAAATTATTGTTAATTTAATATATACCAAAAATGTATATAATAGTATTTCAAATAATTATGTGATAGTTCTAGTATTACAATTAATTCGTAATTTTAATATAAATCAGCCTTATACTTTTTTAAAAATATTAGTCTAAATTTATAGATTTCTTTTTTTTTTTATTTTTTTATAGTCAAGGTTAGCTTCTTTGGTTTGTTGCTTTTATTAGATATTAGGATCATGTGGTGCCCTTATCGAAGGGGCCCCAGACAAGTACATTCTGACGAAGATACATTCTAGCCATATCTGCACCTTTTGAGTGC